GAGTTGTGGGCGTAGGAGAATGGGCTGTAGTTGGTACTGCTTGAATAACTCTTGCTTTTAGTTGGGCATTGGTGAACTTGGGCCTGATTAATTGCTTCATTTCGATCTTCGACCCGTTGGGCCATAACCATAGCTTGGGCCAACTCACGAGGCTTCATTATCCTCACCTCAGCTCAGATAATAGGAGTCAGCCCATTGATGAAATTACTTTCCATTACCTCCTCCGACACTGCTGTTAAGTGCGCATCCATGGCTTCAAATTGACGCCGATAATCCCGGACGGAGCTCGATTGCCTTAGTGCCAAAAATGTCTCCAAGAGTGTCCCCTCTTGCGACGGCCGAAAGCGCTCCAACACCAGCGTTTTCAGATCCTCCCAACGTCGCAGAGGTTGCCTGCTATCTTCCCACCGGAACCACGCCAGAGCTTCTCCTTCAAAACATACAGCCACGGCCTCTATTTTCTCCTCATTTGACAGTTGATTCATGCCGAAATATCTCGCTGCCCTAAAGATCCATCCATCTGGATTATCGCCGTCGAAAATGGTCATTTCTAGCTCCCGGTTCCTGTAATTTGCTCGTGTCCCGTCTTCCCAAAATTTCCTCCCCTCATTACTGTTGCCGGCTTCACCGAACATGGCAGGTGCTGTGGGGTTAGTGGAGGGTTCAGAGGCTGCTTTGAGGGAGGCTTTTTCCTTCCTTTCCCGTTCTATTTCGGTCCACTGCTTCATCATCGCCTTAACTTTCTCCATTAACACCCCAACTTGTCCTTCCAAGGTCTCCACTTGATCGATAACGTCATTTTCCCCAGAAATCGGATGCTCTGATACCAAAAATTGATAAGAACCTGAATTGATGGAACAAACTCGTTTACCTAAGAAGAGTAAATTCAATGGAAATGAGTGAATTTATTGAATTAAACGTAAAATGTGACTCCAACAAACCAGAGCTTTCGAGAGGCTTTGTACTCTCCTACCAGACTCCTGATTTTTCTTTGATTGTTACTCGTCCCTCCCTTTTACATTTATTGACAATTTCCCTAACTGACTCACTACTCTTCCCCCTAACAAAATAACAGAATAACAAACTGCATGTTTAATTAATTTGGATACTTAGCTGACGTGGCTGCCTCCTTACTCCTTGCGTATTTAAAAATCACCGAGGGTCTATCAGACACATTATCTAAGACTGTCCTACTCGACCTCAAAATCGTCGGGCTAATGCATATCAGGCTACTAGCAGGCCATCGACTTCTAAGACATCATCTACTACTGCCCAATCTGCTCTTACTTCTGAAATGGTGCAACAAATGATTTCGTCAGCTTTTGCTGCTTTGGGACTTCAAGGAAAAGATAATACTTCATCTCAATCTTAGCTAGTTGATTCAGGTGCCTCAAATCATATGACCAATTCCTCTGATGGTCTTTATGATATTCGCCTATATCAAGGCTCATCTCATAATCAAACAGCTAATGGGAGTCATTTAGCTATTAATGCTGTTGGTAACATTAATTCTGCTTTTCGAGACATTTTTATATCTCCTGATTTATCTACAAATCTGATTTCAGTTGGTCAATTAGTTGATAACAATTATGATGTCCATTTTTCTTGTGATGGTGTTCTTGCGCAGGATCAGGTGTCGGGGAAGATACTAGCGAAGGGGCCTAAAATTGGACGATTGTTTCCATTACATTTTTCTATTCCTAGTTGCTTATCTTTGGCTTGTATAACCGTTAACAATAAAAGTGAAGTTTGGCACAAACGTTTGGGACATCCAAAATACACTATTCCGTCTTATTTGTCACACTCTGGTTTGTTGGGTAATAAAAATAATTCTTCTCATAATTTGTGTTTTGATTGTTCTATATGCAAATTGGGAAAGAGTAAGACTCTTCCTTTTCCTTCTCATAGTAGTCGTGCAAAAAGAGCTTTGATATTGTGCATAGTGATGTTTGGGGCGTTTCACCTATCACCTCTTATGCCCAGTATAAATATTTCGTGACTTTTATTGATGATTATAGCCGATACACATGGATCTATTTTCTCCGTTTTAAATCTGAAGTACTTTCAGTTTTTTAGACCTTTGTGACATATGTTGAGACCCAATTCTCCAACCGTATTAAAATTTTACGATCTGATTCAGGTGGAGAATATATGTCCCATGAGTTTCATGATTTCTTAAAATAAAAAGAGATTTTGTCTCAACGATCATGCCCTTATACCTCTCAACAAAATGGGGTGGCAGAATGAAAGAATCGTCATGTACTGGATGTTGTTCATACATTATTACTTGATTCCCATGTTCCTTCAAAATTTTGGGTTGAAGCAGTATCCACTACAGTTTATTTCATCAATAGATTGCCTTCTCAAATTTTATGCTTTGACTCTCCATATTATCGCCTTTATAATCAACATCCTACTTATCATGACTTGCATACTTTTGGGTGCATTTCTTTTGTTCATTTACCTTCTCATGAACGACACAAGCTTTCTGCACAATCTGTTAAGTGTACTTTTATGGGCTACAGTGTTTCGTACAGAGGTTATGTTTGCTATGATCTATGTTCTAATTAGATTTCGCATTTCTCGTAATGTTGTTTTCTTTGAGCGACAATTTTTCTTTCATACTCATGCTCAACATTTACCCGAAATTAGTATTCTCCCATGCTTTGACGATTTGACTTCTCATCCTGAAAGATTCAAGCCCGGACTCGTGTATGAGAGACGTCGACCAAATAGGACTCTTCCTGAAGTTGACCTCCCATTTGATCTTGTCCAGCCCCTCTTCTGAGCCTGAGTTGGCATCAGATACTGATGTACCTTGTGATCTGGGTCCTCGACGATCTACCCGTATTTCTCACCTACCTGATAGATATGGTTCTTTTCATTCATTTGTCATTACATTGACATCTATTCCTCTTAGTCATTTAGAAGCAGCTAAATATGAATGCTGGCGGAAAGCTATGGATGAAGAACTTCGAGCACTTCAGGATAATCATACTTGGGATGTTGTTCCTTATCCACCTAATGTCAAGGCTATTGGTTGTAAGTGAGTATATTCTATTAAGCTTCGTTCCGATTTTCGATGGAATCTGGATCGTTATAAAGCTCGCTTAGTTACTCTCGGAAATAAGCAGGAATATGGGGTAGATTATGATGAGACATTCGCTCCAGTGGCAAAGATGACTACAGTGCGCATTATCCTTTCTATTGCAACCTCTCAGGGGTGGCCTCTTCACCAAATGGATGTCAAAAATGCTTTTCTTCATGGTGATCTCAAGGAAGATATTTACATGACACCTCCTCCGGGTCTTTTTTCCTCTTCTTCACAAGTATGTAAGCTGAAGAAGTCTCTTTATAGGCTGAAACAAGCTCCTCGAGCATGGTTTGAGAAGTTTCGATCTACTTTGTTACAGCTTTCTTTTATCCAGAGTCAGCATGACTCCTCCCTATTTCTTTGTAAGATATCTACATATATTGTTCTTTTACTTGTGTATGTGGATGATATTGTTATCACTGGCACGGATTCTGGTTTGATAACTCAACTCCAGCAGCATCTATAGGCTTCCTTTCACATGAAAGATCTTGGTCCACTTACATATTTTTTGGGTTTGGAAGTACACACTGTTTGCACAGGTATATTTTTCAACCAACACAAATATATCCAAGACTTGATCACTTTGTCTGGTCTTCAAGATTCTTCTTCTGTCGATACTCCTCTGGAAGTCAATGTTAAATATCGTCGTGAAGAGGGTGAGCTCCTTCCTGATCTGACTATCTTTTGTCAATTAGTTGGGAGCTCAACTACTTGACTATCACTAGGTCTGATATATCATTCGCAGTCGAGCAAGTCAGTTAGTTTATGCAAACTCCACGACATCTTCATCTTGTGGCAGCTCGTCGCATCATTAGGTATCTCCAAGGTACTCCTCATCGTGGATTGTTTTTCCCTTCTGGGTCTCCTATTCGTCTTGTTGCATTTAGTGATGCAGATTGGGTCAGTTGCCCTGATACTCGTCGTTCTGTTACGGGTTGGTGTATGTTTCTTGGTAATTCTTTGATCTCCTAGAAGAGTAAAAGGTAGACACGTGTGTCTAAATCTTCAACTGAATCTGAATACCGTGCCATGTCCACTGCCTATTCTGAGATTATTTGGCTCCGTGGGCTTTTAGCTGAACTTGGCTTTCCTCAGTCTAATCCTACACCCCTTCACGCGGACAACACGAGTGCTATTTAGATTGTTGCAAATCCAATATATCATGAGCGTACAAAGCATATCGAAGTGGATTGTCACTCAATTCGAGAGGCTTTTGACGCAAATATTATTTCTCTTCCGCATATCTCTATTGAACTACAGATTGTCGACATATTCACCAAAGCCATGACACGACAATGTCATCTCTTTCTTATGGGCAAATTGATGCTTCTTGATCACCCAGCATCAATTTGAGGGGGGATTTCAATTATATAGAAAGAGTAATTGACGGCCAGCAACTAATTGACGTCAAAATTAAAGATGCTTTGTATAGCTTTGTCTATTAGTTGTAGTTGATAGAAAATTGCTCAGTTTCCATTCATGTACAGTGATAGCTAACATTCAGCCATGTAATTTGCCTTATTATTCCTATATATGCAAAGGAACCCTCACAATGAGGATTATCGAGTCAAAAAAAAGAATTGAATACCTTGACAACCAATTCACTGCATGTGGATTCGTCCTGGCTTTATTTTCTCTGATCTGAAGGCTGACAAGCATCTTTTGTGAATTACATAGTCATATGATATTTCTTTCATTTGTAAGTTGGCTGGTCCTCAGATATACAATGTATCAGTCTATTCTAGCTGCAGAAATCTGTATTTCGATATCTTTTTCTTTTTCTAACTTGAGTAGAGGTCTGCATTTTCAAATAATTGAATGTACGGGCCTATGCTCAATTCTAATTAGAATTGTTCACGTTCTACTATATGCATATGCTAATGTATGGGTGTTCCTCTACTGCCAGGACAGAAAAGCTTTCTCCTCATTTCTGGAAGGCCAGGTGGAATGTGTAACAATTGAAGAGAATAAACCTAATGGGTAGGATAGTACATTCATAGTGCACTTCCCTGCTGCATTTGATTCTTCTTTTATGAATCCTCAATCTTTTGGAATTTCCTTCTAATTTGGAATATTTTTTTCTCTGAGTCAATTTCAAAATAGAATGACTGTGGAGACTCTACATATATTTTAATAATGTGCAGTTATAAATTTAAATAGAAGTCTGCTGATTGCATGGTAAGTTTGTGGGATGACAGCTGGGGTGTATACAGAATGCCAACTTTGACCTAACATATTCCTTGTCAAGCTTGTTCAAGCCTGCTTACAATTTTCATATCCTTCTTGATCAGCTGCAATGGCACACTATGATTTCCTTTTGGTGGTCTAGTGTTGGGAGTAGGAACTGAAATTCCTCTTATCACGTATATTATTTTCTTGTTAGGAATTATAATTGTTTAAGATGCTGTACTAAAATTATTCTCCAGTTTGGTAAATTGGTAATGCACTCATTTCTAGTTTATTAACATTTAGCATGACAGGATTACAGATGGGCTTGACGACAATGGAGAAAAATATGATCAGAAAGCTTTTGGGAAAAAACCTGGCGACCATTCAGGTTCTTTTTGCTTTCTACATATTATATTTACATGAGCTTTCACAATTTCAAAAGAATTAATAAACTTCACAAGCATTCATGTAAATCTACTGAAGTTTTATATAGAAAAATTGAGGACCAAATGTAGGCAGATTTTGCAGTTTTAGGTTTGCACGTTTGTCTACTAGCAACATTAAATGTAAAATAGCCTGGTTTTCATGTTTTATCTTTCCATTCTGCAACTTCTTAACATGTTAAAACTCTAAGTGTTTGACTGTTTTACAAAGAAAAAAAAGACGAATATGGACTGCTGTGGACAAATAGCAGCAAATAGTTAGTGGTGATCACTGTGACAGAGACCTAAGAGTCATAACTCACCAACTAATTTCTTATAGACAGTCGTGTGGTTTCTGAGGGTATGATCGCTCCACTGGTTTCTATGGATCAGCTTATACATTCTTTTATAGTCGATTTTTTTCAATTCATATTCAGATATGAAAATCTTGAAACTGTAACCCAGAGTTTATAAATACATTGGGAAACATGATTCTATAGTAAAAATCTAACATAATTGCATTGTTGTGGAAAATTTGAATATAACTTAAATGATGGTACGAGACATTCATTTTTGACACGCATTGATCAAAAGCTGTATGAATCACAGAATATTGGACTTTGAAGAACTGTCTATGTTGCATCATTGCAGTGTGGAATTGCATGAAAGCATCTAATAAATGGCTATTAAATGCACATCGTCATTTCACAGTGATGCTCAATGTTCATTTTATGTGTACTACATTGTGAGTATACTGTATTTTAACTTTGTCAGGAGCATCCACGCATGATGAATTTCAAGAGAGATGCATATTGAATTCTTGGAGGGAGGACAATAATGTGGAGTCCAGCTCATCAGAGGCAAGTGAATATTCTGTCGCATTGATGATGTATATTTTGAGAACCTTATTGAAACTCATGAATTTTGACTTGCCATTTCAAAATCGCAGTCTGGTTGCTCTTCATCAAAGCTAACTCCTCAACTTGCGGCAAATGTCCCAAGCGTTTCTCATGCATAGACAAAGGTACATCATGATAAATATCAATTTCTTTTCATCATGGAATCGTGCTTGCGATATGGGTTCAAATCCTTTGTAAAGGTATTTCATCACATCTCAGCAAACTTGTACTTCAAGTCAACAAGTTCTTAATTCTCTTGTATATTGTCCTGTCTTTATTGTTTTGTTTGGCAAGCGGGATTTTACAGTGCTGAATAATGGCCCCCATTATTTGAAATTTTAATGATTGAAATAGTGTATTTTTTTTATTTTTTTTGAAAAATGTGTGGTTAAAAAGGAAGAAGTTTTTTTGGGATTATGTTTAAAATGATTTTATTGGAGTGTGTGTGATTGATAAGAGGAGAGAGAGGAATGAATTATAATTTTAATGGGGTCAATATACGTGTCAACTGCTCAAAGGTTACGTGAGCTTGATTCTGTGCGCTCAACAACACAAGCTAGAAATATATGAGATTACAACTTGTACCTTAGCCGGCGAGATTTTTGCATCCTGAACATGTGTTAATAAAAAACTAGAGCCCTTCTACATTACCATGGCCAATGTGGCCTTGGTAATGCCAGGGGACAGGGCCTGGTAAAGAAGAATGATCCAAAAAACTAAGGTTAGAATTTCATAATATTGATCAATTATAGGTGGCTCTCAGCGTTTTCGATCAGTCATCATCAAATCCTACCTTTCTCTCTCCATTCATTCAATCCAAGGCCAGGGTAGAAGTTTTATTAGTATAAATCTTTGTGCGACCAATTGAAAAGGACAAGTTTCAACTTCTGCATTTCTAATTAATTTTCCCACCTTTCACTGAATTATTTTCCTGTAACTACACTATTATATTCATATTGGATAAATATATGTCAATTCGTTTGGAATCTTTTGCTATATTTTCATTGAGAACAAAATTTGTGGAAAAGTGCACTTTGGAATCTTTTGCTATATTTTCGTCGAGAACAAAATTTGTAGAAAAGTGCCCTTTACATTCGTGTTCTTCTTGCTCTCGACTCCCTTGTTTGAATGAATCTTAAAAATTATATGAAGTTCTGGTTTTATGATTTGTTGCAGAACAATTCTTACCTTGGGGAAGCACAAATTGCATTATGTAGGAGGACAACTGGACAAATATAATAAGTCTTAACAGTCAATGGCAGCCTTGCTGCATAGTTGTATTTCCAAAATTAAGTTGTGTTTTGTGTTCTGTGATAATTAGACTTATAGGAGGTCGTGTTCTGTGTTTCGAAGAAATCCTTTTTGTATCCCTAAAAAGAGCATATTGTCCTTTTCTCCATTCCTTAACGATCATTTGGGTAATGGAGCCATTTCAGATGCTCTCTCTTCAATCTGAAGTAAATTAGTGGTTTAGCTATTTGTTTTTTTGAGTGTTTGTTACTATTTTTTTAGTGACAAGCATAGGTTTTAATTGGTGTTTTGTCACTCTTTTTTTTTTTTTTTGTAGGATTGAGATTTAATAATCCCTAAAAAATGTTGGTTTAAAGGAAAAGTCACATTATATTCTCTGCATAAGATAAAAATGGACTTAAATGTCAAGTTTAGTCACTTTATTTAACCGATTCAATATTTTTGTTGGTGTTTTGTTGTTTGTTAAAATTGTCGCTTTTTTTTAGTGTTTTTCACTTTTTAAAATTGTTTCCACTTTTTTGAGTGTTCGTCACTTTTATTTATTTATTAAATAGTGATACCTAACTTTAAAAAGTTACATAATGTCACCTTTTTTTTCTTTTTTTTAAAGTGACAACTTACGCAGTATTTTTTTTGTTTCCAAAACACTTTTTATATGATTTTTTAGATCATTAATTTTACGGATACTTTTATAGGTTGTCCTTTGACAAATGCCTATACTTTTGTATTGGGCTGTTTACAGCCTAATGAGTGGGTCAAAGTTTATACTTGGATCATAGGCATATTTTTAATTGGAAAATAGCAAAACTAAATATAACCATTAATTTTTTTTTTCCGAAGTTTATTGAAACAGTAAATTCTGATAAAGGACATTTCGACAAAACAGTTGATTAGGTCTGGAGAAGCTTTAGTTTTACATTTAAGAGAGCCATTGATAAAGGAGAAGAATAAATGATGAGTTATTGGTCAAATTACATTAAGTCCCTATTTGATATGACTTAAAATTGGATTAAAATTGAAGTTAAAAGTCAACAATTAATTTTAATCACTTATTTCATGGGTCATACAATTTTTTGATCATATATTTCTTTAATTTTTCTCAAAATTTATTAAAAATCTGGGGCTAAATTGAATGCAATAAATGTTTTAAACAACCAAAAATGATGGGATTGTCTCAACTGGGCCATAGTCACTTTATCCAGTAGGGCCCACTGTATGGAGATATTTGGATGGTAATAACTAGCCCGGGCCCAGGGTTTTCAATTCGTATAGCAACTACAACCATACACGGGTCACGGGTGCCTACTTTCCTGTCATTGTTCAGATATTTTGATCATTACTAGCCTTGGCCCACGTACTTGATTAATTTGGAAGTAACGTCAGTGTTTTGAATCTGTCGAGTTCTCGTAGGCAATATTTTCATTTTAGAATGATCTATTACTACAATGGTATAGACTTGTTTGTAGCTAAGAGTGGTATTTGTAAAGAAGCTAATGTATGTTTAGAGATGGCAAAAAAATTCATTTAACTCGATACATGTAGAGCCTAACCCTGAATGGGGCAGGGATTACCAGCCTAACAGGGTACATGGGACGGGTAGGCGTAAGGGTCATTGGCCCGAAGCGAGAATGGGACAAGCATGGGAAATATAGTTCCCGCCTCGTTACTTGCCCCGTTTAATGTTAATTTCAAATTTAAGTTTTTATCAAACAAAAATAATAGATTTATAATCATTTTTAAATAGAACATAAGTTGTTTTTAACAAATTGGTAAAAAGGTAATAATATAAACTAACTAAAGATATAAAAAAATAAAATAAAAGCAAAAAATAAAATAAATAAAAAAGAAAAAGAAAAAATAAATAGGGTAGGTCCCCCACCCCTATCCCGCTCCATCATATTTTAATCAGGTATGGATATGGGATAAGATAATAAAAATACCCGACGAGATGGAGTGAGAATGGCCAACCAGTCCCATACTTGCCCCGTTACTATTCCTACGTATGTTATTATAGTAATATAGTTTTACAATAAAAACAAAGTTTTATTTCTGCCCTCAAGGAATACTCTTCATCCTGTATATGTAAGGACAACGGTTTAAAAAGAAATCATTCACCAATGAATATATGAAAAGGTACATGAGGCTTATGGAAAGTAAAACCTCACATGAATCTCAGCCTCTTAGACATGTAAAAAGGTACATGAGGTTTATGGAAAATATATATTCCGTTGTTTATGGAAAATATATAATCCATTGTTTCTTCTCCGTCATCCAAGTTATGAGCATTTTGTCAAATGTCAACAATGCATCATTCAAATCCATCTGCATTAGTACAGTTCACATATTCACTTCCCACAACGAGAATTTCATATTTCATGACTGTCATCTATAACAAAAATATTGAACAATTCACAACCAATAGCTCTGTGCCACTTGTTGGGAAATAAAATGGATTGAGGTAATATATATTACACGATATGAAGTATATGATTACAAACAAACAATAATATAAAAAGCAAAGAATTAATGAACAAAGGAATGAAATATATTATTCAATTGACTATTATAGAGAAAATAAATACAATAACTATACCTACATAAGTATTCTATATTTTAGTAATACAAAACTTGTTAAAAGAGTCTAGTATTCATAGGGATGTATGCCCACCAAACCCAACGTATACCACAAAAATGGAAACAAGATAAAAAATCACGTAGAATAAATGAAAAATATTTTTCCAATAAAATTGCGTAGAATAAACGAAATAACATTTTTCCAATAAAAAAAGTTGAATAATGGAAACAATATTTTCCCAAAAAAACCAATTGAATTTGGGTCACAAACCCAACCATGAGAGAGAGAGAGAAAGAGAGAGAGAGGGACAATTCGAAGAAATAACGATGGAAGAATGTCGAACGAATGCCTTTACGTTTGTCTTCGGTATTTTTCACAGATAATATATAAAACTTGTTTGGTGGGAATTAAAATTAGATTTTTAGTAGATTTTGATAAATTTTTTTGAAATATATGGTTGAAAAATTGTGGGATCATGAAAAGTGTGATTAATATTGATTGTTTGACTTTGACTTAGATAAAAATCTAATTTAAATTAATACCTAATGGGGGCATAATATTGTAGTGAATGAGTAGAGAAAGAGTAAAATTAAAAATAAAAATGAAAAGTAGTGAACTGTTGCAAAACTGGTTTGAAACAAGGTAAGTGTGAAAATCAGTTTCAAGAATTAATAGTGAATCAGCTATCCTCTCTTTTCTTTAATGTAAGGATTAAAGAAATTTATGTCCACAAGTTTTTATATTTATTAACGGCACATTAATTTCTGAAAGATTCCTGTCATGTGTTGATTGTATTCAATGACATTGAGCGTCATTAATTTTGATCAATGTTCTAAAAGGAGTAATACGTGACGACGCTTGGAGGCCAAGTTATGAATTACATTAGTTTAGGCGAGGTCTAGACGTAAAAAAGCGTAGAAAGGCCTTTTTTTATTTTCATATTATTTTAATTTTTAATAAATCAAAAAATATTTAATAATTAAAAATAGTACTTACTAAACATTTAAAACAGATTTATAGGAATGTTATACAATTTTCCAAAGTTTTCAATAAAAGATAAGTTTCAAACATAAATACAAAATAGTAAATGAATAGTGTAGGAACTTAAATCTTATCTAACTTTTTATCGGATGCCAATTCAATATCTTCTTCTTCATCTAATTCGTTCTCCGTGTCTTTCGATACAAGTGATTGTTTTAGATTAGGGCAAAATGAAGAAATCACCCATTGATAATTTTTTAACAATACAAAATTTTAAAAAAAGGATGATAATGGCGCGCATAATTGTGTTGGCGCGCATAATTGCTCCTAGGCATGTCTTAGAGGTCACGGTTGCTGTTGATCGTTCAATAAGGCGTCAAGTGGCCGAGCATTAGGCCTAAACGCTAGGCACTGCCATTTAGAACACTGATTTTGAATATCAAAACATAATTTGTTAGATATAAATTGTACTATTTAGGCCATTTGATAGTGTTTTTAGAAGTTAAAAGTTAATTTTGTTATTAAGAAATTGTTCAAGTCTATTTGAATAATTTTTTAGAAGTGTTTTGTCTTATTAAAAGAAATTAACACAAAATAACTTACTCAAAAAGTTGTATAAAAAATAAAAATAGAAACTAACCCAAATTTTTTTTTTTTTTTTTTACTTGGGGTATTGATCTTTAATAGATAGGTGTCAACTACTGGAGAATCCAATAAGTCCTTAAGTCTAAAATAATGAAATTAATGTCATAATGTAACAATCTTAGTGGCCCAATTAATTAATTTTTTTTTTTAAAAACAGTTGATAATTCGGAACCAGAGGAATTAGGTTCGCTATTAATCTCGTACGATAAGCCATGTCTATTTCGAAAGCTCCATTTGGACCTACAAGCAACATCGGAACATGTCTGATGTTGAAATAATGTCCTAATTTGGAACTTAACGCAAGTATATTTACATTTTCAACCATCACATTTTGAGAAAGGAGAG